CCAATTTGCAGCCTCTTGCTCCCAGCTGTGGAGAAGGCCTGCAGCAAAGTCAAGGGGCTGATGGCCAATTAGCAAGGGGCTTAATCAGGGATCTGGGGCCCCCTGGGGGGGGATTGGAAGGAGCAGGAACTGCCTGTCAGAAGGCTGGGGGAAGGGAGGGGAGGGACCAGGGCTGAGCCAGCCAATCAGTGCTGAATAGCAGGGGGGGGGGGGAGGTAGTGGACTCATGGGCATTGGCAGGCATGGCGAGGGTGGGGGTGGGTGTGAACTGGTGGGGGTGAACTGGTGTGTGCCTACATTCAAGTCACTTGAGTGTGAGCCTGTGCGGGTGGTTGTGTGCATGACTTACCACCTGTAAACACGTGTGCAGGTGGTGTGTATGAGTGTCCAAGTGGGGTTGCTTAGGCGATATGCCTGGAACTGTGCACGTGTGTGTGTGAGCATGACCCCTACACACCTTGCATCACGTGTGCAACATGTATCTGTGCCTATGTGTGCGTGCTGCACTAGTGTGTGGAGGCACCTGAGTATTCTTTGTGTGTGCGCGTGTCAGATGCCTGTTCTGTCGCACGTGTGTCTGTGTGCATGTGTGAGTGTGTGCACACGTCTTAGCACGGGAGGAGCTGAGGGCCACAGGCCCACGGGGCTCCAGGCTCCAAGAGGGAAGCTGACGGATGAGTCTGGCCACGGCCCCAGCCGGGAGCCCGCGTTGCAGCCTGCAGAAGCCGTGCGCGTGAACTCATCTTAATAGCTGCTGTCTCCTCATTCCTCGTGGGGAGAGGCGGTCGTGGCCCGGCGGGGCTGGGGGCGCTCAGGGCTGCGCCCTCCCCGCAGGGGCTCTGGCCTCCCCCAATTCGGGGAGCCCACTGCCCCGCTCCCCCTCCTTGGCCTCTGTAGTTGGGTGGGATCAAGCCTTGGGGCTGGGAGCAGAGGCTGGGAGAAAGCTTGGCCCTCTCTCCCCAGACACACGCACGTGCGCGCACTTGAGCATGCACATGCACACACATACACACACACACACACAGAAAAATGTGCTGTGTGCACAGTCCTGGCTTGAGCACCAGATGAGTCTGAGACTGAAGGAGCTGGCGGGCGCAGCTGACCCCCGAAGGCATTGCTCCCAGGGGCCTCAGCTCAAGGGAGGAGGAGGCTGGGCTCTCAGGAGTCCTGGTGGGGAGGTGGGGAGGTGGGGAGGTGGGGAGGTGGGGAGGTGGGGGGGGCAGGACTTGTCCTCAGGAGAGACAAAGACTTCTGCTTTCATGGCTGAGTAGGCAAACAGGTCCCCTCCCTCAGGGACCCTCCTCTGGCAGTGGGAGCCCAGCCCTGCCTTTGGGGCTCCCTTCTGAGGAAGAAGGCACCCTGCTTTTGTGGGGGGGGGGGCTTGAGCTCTGGGCGCTGTCCCTCAGCTCTTCAGCTCAAGGCCCGCATTCTACCACTTGAACCACAGCACCACTTCCGGGTTTCTGGTGGTTTATTGGAAATAAAGTCTCACAGATGTTCCTGCCCAGGCTGGCTCTGAACCGCAATCCTCAGATCTCAGCCTCCTGAGTAGCTCGGGTGGCAGGCGTGAGTCACCAGCACCTGGCTGAAGGCACGCTTCTCTACAGGGTGCGGCAGGAGCTGGCTGGGCGCGGGGCTGGGGCGTATTGTGGATGGTGCATCTCTACAGGCTGGGCTGGGCATGGGGGAAGTGGGCAGTAGGGGGGGGGGGATCCAGGCCATTTCTCCCTGGGAGAGAAGCCTACTGAACCCCACCTCACACAGAATCCTTCAAATGACTCAGATCCAGCAGACAAGCACCCCAAACATCCCCCCTCCTCCCCATCCCCACCACGCCACACATGGTAGATCCCTGCTCGGGCCCCAGAGCCAGAAGCTAGGATAAGGACACAAAGCTCCCCGGTTCCCCACCCCCCCCCCACCCCCGCTCCCAGCAAGCAGCAGCACCTGGCCCCTCCCTCTGAACCCCAGTGAGTGCACCCTTCCTTAGGCCCAAGGTGTGGGTGTAGAGGAGATCCTCAGGTTTTTTCCGGGTCCACATAAGACTCCCTGCCTCAGTTTCCTGGCCTGCTGATCTGGGTCCAGATCTCAGCTCGAGTCCTGACTGTGACTTTGGACAATCATGTCACTTTTCTTTTTTTTTTCTTTTTTTTTTGGGTCCGGTCTTGGGGCCTGAACTCGGGGCCTGGGCACTATCCCTCAGCTCTTCAGCTCAAGGCTAGCGCTCTACCACTTGAGCCACAGCGCCACTTCCGACTTTTTTCTTATGTGGTGCTGAGGAATCGAACCCAGGGCCTCAGGCATGCAAGGCAAGCACTCTACCACTGAGCCACCTTCCCAGCCCAATCATGTCACTTTTCAAGAAGGCCTTCATTTTGAACAGCTGCATTTAAAAATTACTCCTCTATTCCCCAGGCTTCTTCCCCCCCCCCCTTTTTTTTTTTTTGGTGGGTTGTGGGGCTTGAACTCTGGGCCTGAGCGCTGTCCCTCAGCTCTTCAGCTCAAGGCGAATGCTCTACCATTTGAGCCACAGTGAGGCTTCTGGTTTTCTGGTGGTTTCTTAGGGATAAGAGTCTCATGGACTTTCCTGCTTGGGCTGGCTTTGAACCATGCTCCTCAGATCTCAGCCTCCTGAGTAGCTAGAATTACAGCCGTGAGCCACCCAGCGCCCAGCTTCCAACTTCTTTTGAAAAGTAGGGAGAGGGGTGATATTTTCCAAAAAGAAATGTACTTTTTACCTGTCTTACGTAACAGTAATCCTCTGTATACCACCTTTATAATAACAAATTTTAAAAGAGGAGGGGGGGTAGAGGAGGAAGAGGAGGAGGGGGAGGAAGAAGAGAGAAGAAGAAGAAGGAAGAGGAGGAGGAGGAGGAGGAGGAGGAGGAGGAGGAGGAGGAGGAGGAGGAGGAGGAGGAGGAGGAGGAGGAGGAAGAGGAGGAAGAGGAGGAGGAGGAGGAGGAGGAGGAGAAGGAGAAGGAGAAGCAGCAGCCGCCACCGCCACCGCCACTGGGCTCCTGTGGCTCACACCTGTAATCCTAGCTAGGAGGCTGAGATCTGAGGATCAGTATTCAAAGCCAGCCCAGGCAGAAAACTCTGTGAGACTTATTTCCAATTAAATCACAGAAAACGCCAGCAGTGGCATTGTGGCTCAAGTGGTAGAGTGTTAGCCTTGATCAAAAAGGAGTTCAGGGACTGGGCCCAGACCCTGAGTTCAAGCCCCAGGACCAGAAAAAAAAACAACAAAACTGTAGGGCAGCTGGGTGCTGGTGGCTCACGCCTGTAATCCTAGCTACTCAGGAGCCTGAGATCTGAGGATCACGGTTCAAAGCCAGCTTGGGCAGGAAACTCTGTGAGACTCTTATCTTCAGTAAACCACTAGAAAACCAGAAGTGGAGCTGTGGCTCAAGTGTTAGAGCACAGGGACAGCACCCAGGCCCAGAGTTCAAGCCCCATGACCAAAAAAAAAAAAAAAAAAAAAAAAAAAGCACCTGTCTGGTGATATCACGGTTGTGCCATGTGAAATGTTTGCCCCCATGTTTGACTTGGTGCTTGGGGAATACGACTCTTCCCTGGGACCCTCCAGGAAGATGGGGAGAGAAGACAGGACTCTGGTGGTATAGCCACCTCCCTGTATTCCTGTGGCCACCACTGAGGTGGGGGCTTGAAAACATCCTGAGCTCCAGATGTGTGTGTGTGTGAGGGTGTGTGTGTGTGTGTGTGTGTGTGTGTGTGTGTGTGTGTGTGTGGAGGGGTGGGGGAGGAGGGGGGAAGGACGTGAGCGGCTATTGTTCAGAGCACAGAATGCAGATTCTAGAAACAGATTCATTTGGTTTGAATCCAGCTGCAATCACTCCTAGCTCTATGATCTTAAGTCTCTGCCCCTCTCAGCCTCAGTTTCTCATCTGTAAAATGGAGAGGATGCAACCTGTGCCAGGAGGCACCTGTGTAGTATTGGGGAGAGAGGCTGCACAGTACCTTAGCACCCTGCCTGGCCAGAGTTACCACGTACTAATAGAGGAAAGCGACTATTATTATGAAGGAATCTGACATCCTGTGAGCGCATGCTTCATGCCAGAGCCCCAAACGGGCTACTGTGGGCAGGATGTGGGCATGCTCAACCCAAGAACAGCCCAGCACCTTGCTTCCTGTCCCTAGGGGGAGGGGAAGGTCCATGCCAGGTGGATACTGACATCCTAACAGGGTGTGTATGTGTGTGTGTGTGTGTGTGTGTGTGTGTGTGTGTGTGTGTGTGTGTGATGTCAGACACAGTCCATCCTGGCTGCCCAGATCCTCTTATTCTGGCGGGGCCCTTTCATTCCAAACTCTCCTCAGTCAGGCCTGTACCCCCTGCATAAACACAGACTCATAGAAATAGGTATCACAAAATCATTTATTACTGAGTTGGGTTGGGACAGGAACAGGGAATGCACTGGGGGCCAGTACCCCGGTTGGCAGAGGGGTGGGGTTTTGGCTCTTGCCCCGCCTTCCCTAGGGCACCTCAGGGTGAAGCCTGGCTACCAGGCCATGGCTGTGGCGCTGGACATCAGACTGGAGTTAAGAGTTGGGGTTGCATTTTCTAGTCCCGACTGCCTGGCCAGGATGCAATTCCCCAAAATTACCACCAGAGGGCAGCAGGGCCCCAGCGCGGAGGAATTCTCGGTTGCTCAGGTGATGGCTTCTTAAAAAAATAAAAAACCAGAGGCTGGTGTGTTCCCTCGCAGACCTGAGGAGGGCAGGCCTGGGGAGAAGGCTCTGGTTTCTATGATCTCTTCGATAAAAAATAAGCAAAAACAATTAACAAAATACATGATTTCTCTTTCTCTATTCCCCCCTGCAGGAACTGAGGTCAGAAATGGGGGTGTGAGGGGACTGGGAATACCCTAGTAGTATGGCCTTAGATTTCAAGATGTGGGTCTTTTTTTTCCCCCCTGACCACCCATAAATAAATTTATAAATATAAATAATAAATATAATTTCTTTGTATGTGCACATAGATATATAGATATAATCTTTTTTTTTTTTTTTCCTGTCTAGGCAACTAACTGGCTATCCTCTCTGACTGAAAAATCCAAAAGTAAAGTGACATGGCCAAGGTCAAGTTTCAGGGAGAGGACAAGTTTAAGGACTTGGAATGGCACTGTAAGATCCCCAGCATTCTGGAACTGCAAGCCACCTGGGCAGTGGGACATTTCTGAGTGGAACCCTGGCCGCCTGGAACATTCTAGAACCCTAGAGCCAGCTGACTGCCTACAAGGACCTTGAACAGAATCCTGGAACACCCAATGTCCTAGAACTCCAGAACCAGCTGGGTCTGTAGGGGTGTGGAGCAGAGGAAGTTGCAATAAAGCAACTCACCAGGGCGGCAGGGCACCAGGACATAGCTAGACGTCGCTGGGGGATCGGGATCGAAAGGGGATCTTGGAAGAGGAACAGCAGCAGCACACGGCCCACAGCACCTTCTGCACGTCCTGGTTGCGGAAGGCGTAGATGATGGGATTGATCATGGAGTTATAAGTGGCGGGGAGCAGGGTGAGATAGGTGTAGAGGGATGGGGAGTCGGCGTCACCCAGCAGGCAGTAGACAGTGAAGGGCAACCAGCAGGCAGCAAAGGCGCCAAGCACCACGGCCAGTGTGGCGATGCCCTTGCGGGTGGCCACGTAGTGGGAGGCAGGCAGCAGGTGCCGCTGGAGGGCAATCTGCTGGGCATGGCGGCAGACAATGCGACAGATCTGGGCATAGAGCTGCAGCATGATGCCAAACACCATGAAGAAGGCAATAGCCAGGACCACCAGATGGTTCTTGGAGAGTGGATAGACCACACCACACGTGGTCAGGCCATCCAGGCAGTTCCAGGCCAGGCCTGGCAGCAGCCCCAGGCCCAGGGCGCTCCCCCACACCAGGGCCAGCATCACATAGGTCCGAGTCACTGTTGTCTCTGAGTAGTAAGTGAGGGCATTGTACAAAGAAAGGTAGCGATCGACCGTGATGGCCAGTAGGCTGCCAATGCTGGCAGTAAAGGCCATTGCCAGCACACCAACCAGCACCAGACGCATCTCCATTGAGCCAATGCAGAAGACAGCAGCAAAGTGTAGGACCAGGCCCAGGCCGGCCAGCAGATCTGCCACGGCCAGACTACCCACCAGCAGGAACATGGGGGCCCGGAAGGCAGGGGTGCCCACGATGATGGCCACCACCAGCGCATTCTCGCAGGACACCAGGGTGCCTGAGATGCACAGCACCACATCCCAGGCTCTGGGCGAGGGCAGCAGGGCAGCTGGGCCAGTGGGCCCCTCTTCTGGGTCTCCGGTGCTCACATTCACAGTGCCTGGACCGGCTGAGAGCCAGGCCAGGGGGCTGCCTGCACCCCACATCATGACACCTGCAGGAGAAAGACCCTGTGAGATGCTGGCAGGGCTGGGCGCTCACGGGAGAGGCCTAGAGGGAGGGAATTGGTCTTTGGGATACCTGTTGGGGTACTAACTGGGGCTCTTCTGTGGATAGCTGTTCTCCCCCGCAGTGTTCCCAGGCCTCTTAACAAGGGAGTTGTTTTCCTGAAGATCCCTGTCTTGGGTCCCTTGCCCCTCCCTTCCAACCCTCTGGATCCAGCAGACCTCTTTTCCCACGTGTGTGATTAGAGGCGATCAAGGGCTATAAGTGAATGGGAACCACAGGATCCAGGAGATGACCTGAACTAGCTCAAGCTTAGGGAAAGGGAGGTGCGGGGCGGGGCGTGGACGGGGCGCGGGGGGGGGGGGGGGACGACACACGTCTCTAAAAGAGGCAGCTGTGCTTCCTTCCTTCAAAGAGGATGACTTCGTTTCTGAGGCTCCCAGACCCCTCACGATTCTCAGCTACCAGCCCCAGGCTCCGCCCTCAGGGAGAGCGCGTGAGGCTGACTGCTCCCACCCGACATTCCTGGGGTAACAGCACCTGCAAACTCAGTCCCCCCGCCCCGACCCCAGCACCTTCTCCCAGACTTCTGTCAGCAGCCAGACCTCTCTTTCTGCCCAACCCCTGGTCTCTGTAAGGGTCACCCCCTACTGGAAGCCTAGATCCTTGAGTCAGACCCCCTCGGTGTGCCTGGACCCCAGGATTTGGGCCTGGCTCCGCCCTCTGCCCGGGTCTCTGAACCCCTCCCGCTGCTCGGACCCCTGGGTCTCTGGCCCGGACTCCTCCCGCCAGCCAGCCTCACATGCCAGTCTCTCCGTCTAGGGCCTGGGGTCCCTCAGAGATGCTCATCCCACCCCCAGCCCCGCCCCTCCAGGTCACCCAACTGGCCGGTCCAGCACTCGCGGCCCCGCCTGGTAACCCAGAATCCCAGCTTCGACCTCCGACCCCGGTCAGCTGCACCGAGCTTTCCCAAGGTCCTAGCATCCTGAGTGCCCTTCCGGACGCTGGATGCCCGCTACTCACCGGTCCAGGCCGGGCGCGGCCGGGCCGCGGGGCTCCGCTCGGGTCCTGGCAGCGCAAGGTGCGCGCGGACCCCGAAAAGCCCCCGCGGCCGCGGGAGAAGCGGCGTGAGTCACCCCGCCCCGCCCCGCCCCCGGACACCCGTTCGGTGACGTCAGCAGCGCGGTCAGCCAATGGGCGCGGTGCGCTGGGGCGCAGCGCACGGTGCGCGGCATAGTAATGAGGCCACGCGCCGCCCGCTCCCCCATTCATAAAAAGAGACCGTGGCCGCGGCCCCGCCCCCTCCCGCACAGGCCCGCGCTGTCCTTGACGCGGCGCCCTCTGCGGGCCGGGGGGCGGTTTCGGGGGCGAGGGTGGGAGCACCTTGGTGAAGTCTGAGGGAGGCTGCAGGGGGCGTCATGGGGAGACGGCAGAATGGAGGCCGGGATAGGAGGTGGGGTGGCGGGACCCCCTTCGGGTGACCGGAACCAGCTGACGGCCTCCAGGTGACAGCGAGTGACGAGGGATGACGGGGTTGCCGGGAATGGGGCCTCGAGGGGACGGGGGTGGCTGTGACGATGTGAGCCTGGTGACAGGATCGCGGGGGATGGGGCTGCGGGACGCTGGCGGTGCGGGGGGCAGAGGCCCCCAGGGCCACCGTGCCGGCGTCAGATGCCAGGCTGGCAGCCGCCAAGCAGATGGGGGACACCCAGGGGAAGGGACTTCAGGTCACCGTGACCCTGTCAAGGGCTGATGTACTGAGCTGACGAAGCTAAATGAGGGCTGCAGGGTCCTGGGATGAAGATTCGGGGTGCCCCCGGGAGAGGTGAGCAGGATGGAGGGTCTGGTGGACAGTGGTGACCAGGCCGCGAAGTTGGTGTCGGGACAGATCAGGTCCCGTGATGCTGGAGCGCGGATAAGGAGCTCAGTGACATCACTGCTGCTGCCCAATAGCACCCTGGCGGGATGGGAGGGAGCGCCTGGCGAGGTTTCTAACTCTGAATTATTTATTGAAGGATCTGGAAGGCCAGCAAAAGGGTGCTGGGGGGGGGGGGGGGTATTTCCCTGAAGCCGCAGGAGATGGAGAGCCGGGAAGAAGTTGGGAGAAAACCTGGCAGCTGAGTCCTCAGGGCAGGCGGCTGGTGGGTGGGCATCAGGCATCGAGAGGGAGGTCCCTTCACCCAGCCTGCCTTTTTTTTTTTTTTTTGCCAGTCCTAAGATTTGAATTCAGGGCCTAGGCACTGTCCCTGAGCTTCTTTTGCTCAAGGCTAGCGCTCTACCACTTGAACCACAGCTCCACTTTTGGCTTTTTCTGTTTATGTGATACTGAGGAATGGAACCCAGGGCTTCATGCATGCTAGGCTAACACTCTACCACTGAGCCACATTCCCTGCCCCCAGCCTGACCTTAACCTCACAGAACCATCCCAGCAGATCTGACCCATGGAGCTGTCCCTTTTCTCTCTGTCTTTAGCTCTGAGGTCACTGAAGGGCAACGGGACCCGGAATGAGTTTACCCAAAGTGGAGCAAAGGTCCCAGATCCACCCATTCCTTCTCCGCATCTCAGCCCCACTGTAGCTCCCTCAGTCCAGAGTCCACTGGGTAAGCATCGGGTTTGGGTGCGGGCAGTGGACATGGAGAGAGGAAAGAATGGGGCTGGAGAGATGGTGCTTTGTAGTTTGGCTCTGGTGAGCGTGGAGGACTTAGCAAGAGGAGGTGATCAGGAGCAGACTAGAAACTGGGCACAGGTGGCTCACTCAGAGAATCTAACTTCTCAGGAGGCTGTGATCCAAGGAGCATGGTTCAAAGCCAGCTTGGGCAGGAAAGTCCATGAGATAATTCTCTCCAATAAACTACTCAGAAAAAGCCAGAAGTGGTCCTATGGCTCAAGTGGTAGAGTGCTAGCCTTGAACACAAAGAAGCTCAGGGACAGTGCTCAGACTCTGAGTTCAAGCCCCATGACTGGCAAAAAAAAAAAAAAAAGTAGATTCAGATCCCAATTCCTCCATTCCTGAGCTGGTTACCTAAGGGAGCTCATAGGCTCTCTTTTTTTCTTCATCTCTAAAATACGGGTCTGGGCACTGGTGGCTCATGCCTATAATCCTAACTACCCAGGAGGCTGAGATCTAAGGATCACATTTCAAAGCCGGCTTGGGCAGGAAAGTCAGTGGAGTGACACTCGTTTTTTGTGGGGGGGGAGAGGGCCTGTCCTGGGGCCTGAACTCTGGGCCTGGGCGCTGTCCCTCAGCTCTTCAGCTCAAGGCTGTTGCTCTACCACTTGAGCCACAGTGCCACTTGCAGCTTTTTCTGCTAATGTGGTGCTGAGGAATCAAACCTAGGGCCTCATGCATGCCAGAAAAGCACTCTATCACTAAGCCAACTTCCCAGCCCCTGGAGTAACACTCTTATCTGCAATTATTCAGCATAAAAAGCCAGAAGTGGAGCTGTAGCTCAAATGGTAGAGCTGCAGCCCTGAAGGAAAAAGTTAAGGGAGGTGGGAGAGCACAAGACCCCGAGTTCAAACCCCAGTGCTAGCACAATAATAAGCAAACAAATAGGAGCGATATTAATGTCTGTCTCAAGATTACGGGGGTGGGTCCTGCCTGTTATCAGCACTGGCTATGTGCTGACGGCCAGTGCTATACCTGGCCAGAGGAGGACACCAGGAAGGCAAAGGTGGGCTTCAGATAACTGAGGGTCTGGAAGTAGAAAACCTTAATCAGAGGAGGGAGCAGAGAATGAGGAGGGGTCTGAGGGAATTGGCCCTTTGAAAGGCCAGGCTGGGATGAGACATTCCTGACCCTGGGCCTTTGCACAGGCTGTTTCCTTGTCTAGGACCCTTTACTCCCTTTAGACCTCTGCTTCTAAGCTGGTTGGGTTTTGTTGGGTTTTGTTTTTGTTTTTGTCAGTCATGAGGCTTGAACTCTGAGTTCTTCAGCTCAAGGCGAGCGCTCTACCGCTTGAGCCACAGCACCACTTCCGGTTTTCTGGTGGTTTATTGGAGATAAGAGTCTCACGGACTTTCCTGCCCGGGCTGGCTTTGAACTGTGATCCTCAGATCTCAGTCTCCTGAGTAGCTAGGATTATAGGCGTGAGCCACCGGCACCTGGCTTGTGAAGACTGTTTTAGAACCTATTAGAGCCAGGTGCCAATGGCTCACGCCTGTAATCCTAGCTACTCAGGAGACTGAGATCTGAGGATCACAGTTCAAAGCCAGCCCGGGCAGGAAAGTCCGTGAGACTCTTATCTCCAATAAACCACCAGAAAACCGGAAGTGGTGCTGTGGCTCAAGCGGTAGAGCGCTCGCCTTGAGCTGAAGAGCACAGGGACAGCGCCCAAGCCCAGAGTTCAAGCCCCATGACCAACAAAATAAAAATAAAAATAGGGCGGGGAAGGTGGCTCAGTGGTCGAGTGCTTGCCTTGCATGCATGAGGCCCTGGGTTCGATTCCTCAGCACCACATAAGCAGGAAAAAAAGCCGGAATTGGCCCTGTGGCTCAAGTGGTAGCGCACTAACCTTGAGCTGAAGAGCTGAGGGACAGCGCCCAGGCCCAGAGTTCAAGCCCCATGACCAGACCAAAAAATAAAATAAAAATAAAAACAGTATTCACCAACCTTTGTCCTAGATGACGTGTCCTTTCCCCTCACCTTCTTTTCTCTATTATTTTTAGAGCTTTCTATTATTTTTGTAGCATTCCTAAAATTGCATTATTTATCTTTCTTTTCTTTTCCTTCCTTTTTTTCCTTTCTTTCTCTTTCTTTCTTTTCCTTTCTTTCTTTCTCTCTTTCTTTCTTTCTCTCTCTTTCTTTCTTCCTCTCTTTCTTTCCTTCTTTCTTTTGCTATGTATTGTTCCTACACTATAAACTCCATGGAAGCATGGCTGGGTTCTGTTTTCTGCTGTAGAGCAGTCCTGAGCGTGTGTGGGTGCCCCAGAAACACTGCTGGATGATGAAAATGACCAGAGTAGCCAGAAAAAGGAGAAAACTATAGTGGAAGTCACAATATGGCTGGTAGGGATGTCCCAGAGAAGGGACAAGGGCATCGGCACCCCAAGTTTCATGTATCCATTTTCTCCCTCATCTGGAGCTCTGGTCTCAGAAAAGAGTAAAGGGCGTAGGTAGGGAGGTTGGCATGAAAGTAGGGAATGATAGGTTCCTACAGTCTCCTTAGTGCATTGAGCCTCTGGTGGGAACTCTGTCGCTGCAGATCAAGTAACTATACAATCCTTCATCCTGTTTGCCAGTACCAGTGCTGGCCTTGGGATCCCCAACTGTCTTCACTCTTCTCCTGTCCTCTAGCTGTCATGTTGGGGTCTTCTTTACCTCATACAGATCACAATCCTGCAAGTCTGTGTTTGGATTAATTTTTTTAAATAATTTTTTTTGTTGTTTTTTGCTGGTCCTGGGCTTGAACTCAGGGCCTGGGCACTGTCCCTGAGCTGTTTTTGCTCAAGGCTAGCACTCTACCACTTGATTCCCAGTGCTACTTCTGGCTTTTTCTGTTTATGTGGTGCTGAGGAATCGAACCCAGGGCCTCATGCATGCAAGGCAAGTGCTCTACCACTGAGCCACCTTCCCAGCCTTTTCTGGGTTTTGACTTGTTTTGGAGATAAAAGTCTCACGGGTACTTTTCTCCCCAGGCTAACATCAAACCAAGATCCTCAGATCTCAGCCTCCTGAGTAGCTTTGATTATAGGCGTGAGCCACTGACACCTGGCTACCTATTTTTCTTTGCCAGTCATGGGGCTTGAACTCAAGGCCTAGATACTGTCCCTAAGTATTTTTTTTGGGGGGGTGGGGAGGGATAATCATGGGGCTTGAACTCTGAGCCTGGGCGCTGTCCCTCGGCTTTTCAGCTCAAGACCAGCACTCTACCACTTGAGCCACTGTGCCACTTCCGGTTTTCTAGTCGTTTATTGGAGATAGGAGGCTCAGGGACTTTTCTGCCCGGGCTGGCTTTGAACAGCAATCCTCAGATCTCAGCCTCCTGAGTAGCAAGGATTACAGATATGAGACACCAGCACCCAAGTAGATTTTCCCCTAATTTCTATCTTAATTACTGCTGCCATCTGGGGTAAAGGCCATCCACAACCATTTGTTTTTGCTGAAGGAGATGATTAGTCATGAACTTCCTCTCCGCATGGTTATGGTGTCCTTCACAATAGAAGTTACTCCTCTGGCAGCCAGAGAGGAAAAGAGCTCATGGTGTTTCCCTGTGTCAACCCTGAGAAACCTGGGACATGGGAGAGGCTGACAGGCCACAGACTTGCATGCGTGTTCTTTCTCACGCAGTGAAATTACTCATGTTAATAGGAAAACTGAGGACATCATTGCCTATCAGGTCTCTCCTCCCTCCTCATACCTTCTGTCCCTACCTGCCTACTTCCTTCCAATAATGACACACCCTTTAGTCCTTCCCATCTACCAGGTGCTAGAGACAGTATTCCCAAATCTCAGTGAAGAACAGAGAAGCAAGGGGTGTGCCTCAAATCATACAGTAAAGGGGCTGGGGAGGTGGCTGATTCCTCAGCACCACATAAGCAAAAAGAAAAAAGCCAGAAGTGGTGCTGTGGCTCAAGTGGTAGAACGCTAGCCTTGAGTTGAAGAGCTGAGGGACAGCGCCCAGGCCCAGAGTTCAAGCCCCACGACTGGACCAAAAAAAAATCATACAGTAAACAGCAAAACTGCAGTCTGGAGACATATCTATTTGTAACCAAGTGCACAGGACCTTTCACCCTAGCTTGGATGACAGCCTGAAGTTCTCCAGAGTTGACAACACATGCAGTTCCCCAGGTGGCCACCGGATGGCTCACCTCACAGCCAGGTGACATAACCTTACCCCTTTGACTCCACCAATCTGAGGAATTTGGTTCTAAGATCTAAAGGGAGGGGCTTGTGTGTTTGAGAATGTGCATTTGTGTAAGATACAATCTCCATACCTGGTATTGTTACTGCATGTTTTTTGTTTTATTTATTTATTTATTTATTTTACCATTCATTCAGTCAATATTCATTGTTGGCCCCTGGACATGAGATAATCTAGCCAGGCTCCTGCATTTTGAGCAGTTAGTACATACTTACTGAATATTTCCAAGCATTTAGAACATCTATAAAGAGATGTTTAATGTGATATCAATAAGGAGCCCTTGCTGAGTGATAGTGGCTCACTCCTATAATCCTAGCTACTCAGGAGGCTGAGATCTAAGGATGAAGGTTTGGAGCTAGCACAGGTAGGAAAGTCCATGAGACTCCAAATAACCACTAAAGAGCAGGAAGTAGAGCTGCTAGTGGAAACACTAGCCTCGAGCAAAAAAGTTCAGAGACAGCACTTAGGTTTTGAGTTCAAGTCCAACAACCAGCACATACATACACACCCATGACCAGCACACACATTCACGCAGGCACGTGTGCACACATACACACACACACACACACACACACCATACACTTAAGGATCCCTTTAGGGTCTCACAAACCAGGGGAATAGATAGATACATGTACAAATGGTCACATCATGGTACAATATGGCTACGAATGAACATTTACTTCTCCTAAACCCTGAGCTGATAGTTAGCTAGGGAAGAAACTAAATGTGGTTCCTGTCTTTGTGAAGATTACAGCCCAGGAAACAATGGGAAATTAATTATGCACTTGACACATGCTCCAGATGTAATGGCTAGATTGTGATAGTAACCAGGACGTATCTCTGAGGTAGGGAGATCATGGAGCAAGTCACAGGAGAGGCAGAAGAGGTTCAAAACCAGGTCATAGATTGTGCACAGTTCCTGATCAGTGGTAGAGTTTCAAAAGTAGAGATACACGGCTAAACAGAGAGGAGCCCAGTGAGCCTGAGGGGAAGAATGGGCTTGAACTCAAAGATGTGGGCACAGGCAGATCCTGGGGGGGTCGTAGGATGCCACGAGCTGAAGGTGCTGGTGGTTTTAGGCAGATACAATGGCTTATTTTTTCCAAGGATCCCTGTTTCAGGGGTGACTTCAAGGATCAGCCAAGCATATACAGTCAGGGTTGGAGGACCCCTAGGAAACAGAAAACCTAGGATAAAGGAGTGGGTGCTGCTGTTCTCTTCTTAGAGAGTAAGAAGGCAATAAGGAGCGCCCATGATGGCTGGGAATGTGGCTTAGTGGTAGAGTGCTTGCCTAGCATGCATGACGCCCTGGGTTTGATTCCTTAGTACCACATAAATGGAAAAAGCGGAAGTGGCACTATGGCTAAAGGGATAGAGTGTTAGCCTTGAGCAAAAGAAGCTCAGGGACAGTGCCCAGGCCCTGAGTTCAAGTCCCAGGACTGGCTAAAAAGAAAAAAAGAAAAAGGAGAGCCGAGCCTAGGACAAGCTAGGGACTATGAGAACCAGGAGTCCAAGATGCTAACCGGAAGAGGTGTGTCAAGGGCACGGTTTCAGGAGAGCTTCTACCGTTCCTGTGACAGCTGGCTCCGGGCGGAAGCTGGAGGAGCCTGGTAGCGAGGTCAGCAGAGGGAAGATGAGGAAGAGGCTCAGGAGATGGGAAGATGTGGAGTTTGAAGGGTTTTAACTTGAGGGGCTAAGAGAGAGGGGAAACGAGAATGAAACCACGAAGCCCAATGTGGAGGCTGACTGGGGGAATGCTGGGGCTTCTGAGTGGAAAGGGAACAGGCTGTTCCAGAGGATCCCCAGAAAGCACAGAAGAGGGGAGAGTGTTCTCTAGCTTCCTTGCATTCTGGCTTCACAGCCTGGCCTGCTGTATTATATCTGTCCCCCTGAGTAGCCTGCAAATTGAGGACAATCCCGCTTATGCCTAAAGGGTAGGTGTAGATCTTAGACAAGAAGCTCTTGGGGCTGGGAAGGTGGCTCAGTGGTAGAGCACTTGCCTTGCATGCATGAGGCCCTGGGTTCCATTCCTCAGCACCACATAAGCAAAAAGAAAAAAGCCGGAAGTGGCGCTGTGGCTCAAGTGGTAGAGCGCTAGCCTTGAGCTGAAGAGCTGAGGGACAGCGCCCAGGCCCAGATTTCAGGCCCCACGACTGGACCCAAAAAATAAAAAAGAAGAAGCTCTTGCCAGGCACCGGTAGCTCACACCTGTAGTCATAGCTACTCAGGAGGCTGAGATCTGAGGATCGCGGTTCAAAGCCAGCCCGGGCAGGAAAGACCATGAGACTCATATCTCCAATAAACCATTAGAAAACTGGAAGTGGCACTGTAGCTCAAGTGGTAGAGTGCTCACTTTGAGCTAAAGAGCTGAGGGACAGCGCCCAGGCCCAGAGTTCAAGCCCCATGACTGACCAAAAAAAAAAAAAAAAGAAGCTCTTCAGAGAATATACATTCTTCTAGCAGTGAGGGCTCACTCATGGCCCTGTTACTAGTTATAGGTGTGGTGGCTGCGGAGCCAGGACTGTCTTGGAGTTGGAGATTACAGACTTGATGGCTTTTATTTATTTATTTTTATTTATTTTTACCAGTCTTCGGATTTGAACTCAGGGCCTGGGTACTGTCCCTGAGCTTTGGTGTTCAAGGCTAGCACTCTACCACTTGAGCCACTTCTGGCTTTTTCTGTTTATATGGTACTGAGGAATTGAACACAGGACTTCATGCATGCTAGGCAAGCACTCTACCACTAAGCCACATTTCCAGTTTGTTTGTTTGTTTGTTTATTGTATATTAATACCGAGCTTGAACTCATGGCTTTCTTGCTTGTCTTTTTTGCTCAGGGAAAGTGCTCTACCACTTGAAACATATCTCCACTTCTGGCTTTTTGCTGATACATTGGAGAAAAGAGTCTCACTGACTTTTCTGCCCAGGCTGGCTTCTGACTATGATCTTCAGATGTCAACCTCCTGAGTACTAGGATTACAGGTGTGAGCTACCCACCAGTGCCCAGTTTAGTAGTTTTATTGGTTTTTTTTTTTTTCAGTCATGGGGTTTGAACTCAGGGCCTGGACCCTGTCCTTGAGCTTTGTCACTTAAGGCTAGTGCTGTACTGCTTTGAGCCACAGCTCCACTTCCAAATTCCTGGTAGTTAATTGGAGATAAGAGTTTCTGTAACTTTCCTGCTTAGTAGCTTTTAAATGGGAACTGATAGCAGACGCCTGCCAAGATACTCCTGGAAGTGTGTAGAATAGGACTCAGGACTGGACTGAGTCACTACTGATTGAAAGGGGGATATGAGCAGGAAGAGGGAGGAGGAGGGGGTGGGGGAGGGAGAAGGGAATGGGAAGGAGGCGATGGAAGTTGCCTATAAGGGACCTGAGAAGTGGCTGAAGATGTAGGAAAAGAACTTACTGAGGGCTGGGAAGGTGTCTCAGTGGTAGAGAGCTTGCCTTGTATTCCTGAGGCCCTGGGTTCGAGTCCTCAGCACCACATAAGCAAAAAGAAAAAAGCCGGAAGTGGCGCTGTGGCTCAAGTGGTAGAGCACTAGCCTTGAGCTGAAGAGCTGAGGGACAGCACCCAGGCCCAGAGTTCAGGCCCCACAACCGGACCAAAAACAAAAACAAAAAAAAACAAGAACAAAAAAAAAGGACTTACTGAAGCTGGTGCTGGGTGGGACAGAGAGTGGCCATGGAGATGACCCTGGAAAGGCCCATGGACCTGGAAATGGCGAGCGTGCCCCACGACTTGGTCAGGTGGTAAGCTGAGGGGAAGGGAGGAGGTGTTAGGGGTGAAGAACTAGCTGTGGGCGCGGGTGGCCAGAGGCCCGGGCTTCGAGGCGGCTGGCCCAGCCTTCACAGGGCCTGCTGGGAAAGGTTCATCCCACAAGGCCTGTCCTGAGCCCGGCCTTGAAGTGGATTTCCATCTAATTCAGGTTTTTGCCCAATAACCTTGGACTAGTCACTCACCTTTCCTAAGCCTCGGTTCCTTCACCTGTGAAGCAGGAATGAAAACAGCCTCCGCTTAACCCTTTTAATGAAGCTGCCCAAGAGGCCACTCAGGGTCTGGGCGGCGCCGAGCTCGGGACCACGCCCCTTTGTCCAAGCCACGCCCAAACAACCGAACACAACCACGCCCCTATTCGGACCCGCCTCCACGGAACCGCCCCGCGCGCCGGCCACGCCCCGCGTAGGCCACGCCCCTTGCCACCACGCCCCTACCTGAACGCGCCCTGGTTGCCCAGGTCTCCCTTTCACAAGCTCCGGGGAGCGAGTCCAGAAGGGCCTCGCCACACCAGCTGTCCGCCGACCCCCCATCCCCGTCCCCGCGCCATGGCCACGCCGGGACCCCGAGCCTTGCGGGCTGCGCTGTGCGGCGGCTGTTGCTGCCTCCTCCTGTGTGCCCAGCTCGCTGTGGCTGGTAAGACCAGGCAGGTCTGATGAGCGGGCCAGGCAGGGGCCCGGGGAGCTTGCCCCTCACTCAGCCCCAGCCCCCCGGCGCCGTCGGGGCTTGCGGGAGAGCGAGGAAGCGTTCCCCACACGGGCGGGGCTCCAGGGGTGGGAGAAGGGGGCGCCAGCCGTGTGGAGCCCCAAGCGCACTGCGTGGTCTCCAGGTGAGGGCGGGGGGCGCGTAGGAGCTTCAGGTGTTTCTGGCAGGCAGAGCCCCACACAGACTGGGGAACTTCGGGTGCGTGCAAAGGAAGGGGATCCGGAGGGGGGGAGGGAGGCTAGGCGAGTGTAACCCCGAGTTGGTGCAAGTTCCAGATGTGTGCAAAGGGTGAGATTCCCTCTAAGGGTGAGGGTCTGGAGTGGGGGAAGGGGGGCCGCGGCTTGGCCACCTGGACCGGTTCTCTGGTTCTCTTCCGGCTCCCGCCCACTCCCAGGTAAAGGAGCTCAAGGCTTTGGGCGGGCAGCCCTGATCCGCCTGAACATCTGGCCAGCTGACCAAGGAGGCTGCGCCAAGCTGGAGGCCTGTGAGCGCTGTGTGGAGGGGGGCAGAGCACACAACCTCTCCCGCTGCGTCTGGCAGCACTGTCAGCCAGAAGAGCCAGGTACAGAACGGGGTCCCCCCCAAGTCCAGCCGCCCCCAGTTCTCAACCACAGAACCTTCCTCTCCCTAAAAGTCTGACCTGTACCTTCTTCCACCAGGACACTGTGTGGCCCAGGCTGAGATGACCAAGGAGGGTTGCTCTGTCTACAACCACTCAGAGTCATGTCCAGGTAAGGAAGTTCCCACCCAACTAAGCCAACTTGCCCACAGAGCGCTGAGGTTTCCCCAGCCACAGCCTGCTTCCAAGAGAAACCAGCTTCTCTGGAAAGTGGATTGTGGATTGTACCCACACTTGGGTACAGTTTCAATTCTGCCTTTAGCTCCCAAAGAAGTCTCCCTTCCCCTCTCGGGCAGTTTCCTCATCTGTAACTTGGTCCAGTTGTGCAGAGGGGTGCAGGCATTAGCACTTTCTCTAATGCACAGCTTGGAAGGGAAGAGAGACTTCCTGGAGGAAGTGGCATCAAGATGGGCCTGTAGGCAGAGAGGGAGAAAGCTCAGTTGGGGGGGGGGATAATCTGGGGGGGGGAGATCTGGGGGGGATCTGGGGGGGGATCTGGGGGGGGGAGGGGCTAAGGCTTAAAAGTATGTTGGGTATTGGGAGCTGGACAGGATCTGATCTGAGTCAGAACCCAAGCTGCTGGCCCAGGGCTTGGGTCTTGGGTGGGAGGACTGTGTTACCATGATGTCTTGTCTTCTCAGCTGCCCACCATCACCCCACCTATGAACCGAAGACAATCACAACAGGTAGGTACTGCCTGGGAGGTGGGTGGAACACAAGTGGTGTAGTCAAGGACAGAGTGAAGTCAGGCACTGTCACGCTCCCTGATCAGCCCTCCAAGTGCTCCACATCAGTCCACATCTGTAAGATGAGTTAGGCAACATCTGCCCCACAGAGCTGTGGCAAACATTTTATGGGACTGAGTAAGACCTGCTTGCTTCAATGTCTGGACACACTGGAAGTGAATCAGAAATGGCAGCTCCCATCCCTTCCCCAGCACCAGTTCTAGCCAGAGTGACCTCTGGGAACCTGTCCTTGAAGCTGGGCGGGAGAAGTGGGCTCCATTATTCCACGAGATGTCCTGGATGCCTACATGCTGCAACCTGAGGGTCCATAGGGCAGATGTTTAGCAGAGCAAGGGCCAGAGCTCCACCCTGTGCTTCCCATTGCCCCTCAGGACCTGGAGGTCACCAGACTTGGTCAGCATGGCTGAAAAGGCTCTTGGTTAATTAAAGCCAGAAACTGATCTCAGAGGCTGAATTATTGATGGCTCAGCTCCCTTGGCTCGAGCCCCAGATCTGCCGTATGCAGTTCATTTCTTCTCTTTCTTCTCTTCCCTGCATCCTCCTTTAGGGCTCCCTGAGCTGCAGGTAGACCAGGCTTTCCCCTTCATAGGCTCAGACCCCCTTATGCCACCCATAGTCCCTGGGCAGTGGACCCCATTCCCATCCCATTCCCTGTCCACTGTCCCAGAATCATCTAATACCTACCAGAGTTGCCCTGCTCTGGGCACCTGGCCCAGGACCTGAAATTGAATCCCTGATAGGAGTTAATGGTAACATGGCACATCTGGGAGCCATCCAGGCCTAGATTGGCAACTACACATCCCTAAGGTTGTACCCTTGCAGGGACAGAGGGAAGGGTTAAGGGGGGCCTGGGAGTCCAGCTCTGTCCTACTGAGGAGGTGGCTTGCCAGGTCTTTGCCATCTGCTAGTCTCCACCTCCATTCAGTGGGTGTTGGCTCTGAGGCCTCCACCTTCCCCCTCTGCTCCTCCTCCTCAGAGTAAGAACTCCAGGCTTAAGAGGCTTGGGAAGGGACCACATCATCTCAATTGGCGTTGGAGCTCTGAGACCCTTTGGCTGACAGAAGGTCTGGGTGCCTGCATTGTGGGTCCACCCTTACTCTATTGGACTAATGACAGGCAGATGGGCCGGAGGAGAGCTTCGTTGCTATCTGGTCCCACTCAGCCTATGGGACCCATGTGACTAGGAGACTCAGAGTACGTGTGCATGCCACTGAGCCATGGAGCAGTTCAGGAGCAGGGCCAGGACTGGCCAAGGCCCACCTCTCCAGCCCCATCCCTTCCACCAGCCGCTGTCCCTTAGCTTTTCTGCTCAAGGCTGACATTCTTTCACTTGAGCCACAACTCCTCTTCTGGCCTTTTACTCGTTCATTGGAAATCAGAGTCTCATGAACTTCCCTGCTCACTGCTCAGACTGGCTTCAAACCTTGATACTCAGATCTCAGCCTCCTGAGTAGCTGATCTGGATTTCTAAGCCTAGTAGTCTAGGTCCCATGGTGAGGGTTGGCACTTCTACGCTTCCTGGGATCCTGGATCCCTCTGGCCTGCTGTGACCTCTGCCCTCCCCTCACCCTAGGCAGCCCGGCAGTCCCTGAAGATCATGGCCCTGGCTTTGACGGGGCCAGCTTCATTGGGGGTGCGGTGCTGGTGCTGAGCCTGCAGGCAGTGGCCTTCTTCGTGGTACGCTTCCTCAAGGCCAAGGACAGCACTTACCAGACACTGTGAGTACCTGGCGAGCAGGTGGGAGGGGGCCAGCTCCCTTCCTGACTCCCTCCTCACCAGGGAACTACCTTTCCTGGGCCCAAGAAAGGGATAATGACTTTCTCCCAGCATCCCCTGCGTGAGCCACACCCCTTTCTTTCTCCTCCAGTTCAGACTGTCTCTGCCAGATGTTAGCTGGGATCAGGACTCAGCCCTGGCCCCAGTGTCTGGGAGTCCAGCTGAGCCCCCTGTGTCTTTGTTCCCTCATGCTGCCAGCAGGGAGGAGAACCAGTAGGTGGCAGCCCCAGCGGGTCCTCAAGCCACAGCCTGGGGCTGAGTGTACAGTGTGCTTTCCTCCGAGGAGGGAGGGTGTGTGAAGCCTCAAGCGTTCTGTGTGTCGTGAGATGGGGGGCATAGCTGGCATTGAAGTGTTTGCTTTTCTAGCTGCACCTGCTCTCTGCCTGAGGAGGCGCCTCCCTAAATGTCTTCTCTGTCTGGCCTCCACAGAATCTGACCCTCGTGGGTCTGGATGCCACCCTAAAGGACACCAAGGCTGCTCTCTTTGGCTGCCTTGTGGGCACTGGGGTGGGAAAAACTTTGGCCACCAGTGTCTGGCCTCTGCGGGCATCAGGCACAGAACAGGCCCAGTGCTAGTGCCTTGACATCCCCTCCAGTCCTGGGCCAGACACCTGCAGCTGAGAACACCCCCTACCACCTCGTGTCTCCTCTGTTGTCTCTTCTGGACATCCAGACTGGTACCTGGGGGCCGTGCTGCCTCTTCCCACCAACCCAGCCTGGACAGGCTGCCCCCAAATAAACAGTCTGTTTCCATTCTGTGCTTCCTGTCCGGTGTCTCAGGCTGTATGTGGGTGGGGGAGGGGATGGCCACAGCCCTGTCCTTGGCAGAAATTCTTCCCAACACTGTAGTTGTCTCCCTTCAAGATATTTGCAAGCCAAGTGCAGCAGTTCACGCTTGTAATCTCAGCCTTTGAGAACCTGAAGTAGACCGAATGATTGAGCGTTGAAGCCAGCCAGGGCTATACAGCAAGACTTTGTCTACAAAGGAAATAAAAACAGGGCCAAGAACATGGCTCGGCAGTACAGTGCCTACCTAGCAAGCACAAAGCTCTGAGTTCAAACCCCACTGCCATAAAACAAAAGCAACAAGGTGGAGGAGGCTGTTTCTCTCCACGTCGTTCTGTGAGCTCCCCTCCTTGCAGGTCACATGCACCCTGTGACTTGTCCAGATGGTCGTCATTGATTTGCCCAGGTAACTACCAATGGCTGGTGGCATCATTTCCGTGTTGACGCTCATAAACAGCCATGGCAAACAGGCTCACCGGCAGACTTTGGCACACACGTGAAGGCTTTGGGAAGGACAGATTCCCAGGGTCTCAGGGGAATCTCAGGGATCCAGGCAGGGGTGAAGAAACATTTTTTCTGCCATTTGGATATTTAGCGCATCATTCCTGGACCATCCCAAATTATCCACACAGACAGGTGGCTAAAGGCAGCCAACAAGAAGCGTAGGAGAAATGTACATGACTGTGCTATCGTATACCAAATGATTTGTCCCTTAGCCTTTTCTCTCTATATGGCCCGTAGGCTGGATGTTTAGCTTAGCAGGTACCTCAGTCCTGTTCACTCACTAGGCCTAGCATAGGAAGGTTTATTGAATGAAAAAGAGCTCACACCCAGGCTGGGAATGTGGCTTAGTGATAGAGTGCTTGCCTAGTATGCATGACACCTTGGGTTTGATTCCTCAGTACCACCTACACAGAAAAAGCCAGAACTACTGGGTGTTGGTGGCTCATGCTTGTAATCCTAGCCACTCAAGAGGCTGAGATCTGAGGATCACGGTTCAAAGCCAGTCCACACAGGAATGTCTGTGAGACTCTTATCTCCAGTGAACCACCAGAAACCAGAAGTGGCACAGTGGCTCAAGTGATAGAGTGCTAGCCTTGAGCTGAAGAGCTGAGGGACAGCGCCCAGGCCCAGAGTTCAAGCCCCACGACTGCCAAAAAAAAAAAAAAAGAAAGAAAAGGAAGGAAGGAAGAAAGAAAGAAAAAGAAAAGAAAGAAGAAAAAAAAAAGAAAAAGAAGTGGCATTGTGACTCAAGTGGTAAAAGTGATAGCCTTGCACAAAAGCACCTCAGGAACAGTGCTTAGGCCCTGAGTTCAAGCCCCAGGACTGGCAAGAGAGAGAGAGAGAGAGAGATCTCATACCTTTCCTCTCTTCCCCTATCTCCTGATGTTCTGCTCATGCTCAGTTCTGACCTCACAAACAGACCATGGCTGCCTGGGAGCACCCCCGCCCCGCACCCCAATGGGCCACCTACTTGATTGTTCTGAAGCCCTGAGATTCAAGCCTGTCAGCTTCCTCCCTTCCCACAGAGGGATGCAGGATGCATGGTGCTTAGGGAAAAGCTCTGGGCATGTAAGTGCCAGAGAGCAAAATCGTGTCCCGTGTCCTGTCTCTGGGCTCCAGGAGTTCTCCTTTATTCATATATTGGCGCTACTGGATGGAACCCTGGGCCTCACATGGCCAAGTGCCACCGTACAATCAGACTTCACCCCTAGCCACTTCACAAATGTTTTGCACATTTGTTGTTGGTGGTGGTGGTACTGGGGAGTGAACTCAGGGCTTCCTGCTAGCTAGACAAGAACTCTACTACTTAATAAACTGATGCTTATTAGGCACCTACTCTGCAAGGTCTATAGCCCATGGCCAGTTATAACAGGGCACATAAGGGTCAGAGGTAATGTACAAACCACTCAAGGTGACATTAGTGAGGTAGGAGTACTATAAATGACACCAGTGGTCACTATTATTTTGCTTGCATTGGTACTGTGGTCCTGATCTCAGGGCCTGGCTACGCTGTCCCTTGGCTTTTTCTCTCAAGCCTGGCATTCTACCATTTGAGCTACTGCTTCACTTCCAGCTTTTTGGTGGTTAATTGGAGATGAATCTCATAGACTTTCCTGCCTGGGCTGGCTTTGAACCATGATCCTCAGATTTCAGCTTCCAGAGTTGCTAGGATTATAGGTGTGAGCCATTGGTGCCCAACTTCCAGTGTTCACTATTAATAATACTGACAAGCCAGGCACCAGTGGCTCATGCCTATAATCCTAACTCCTCAGGAGGCTGAGATCTGAGGATCGAGGTTCAAAGCCAGCCCGGGGCAGGAAAGTCCCTGAGACTCTTATCTCCAATAAACCACTCAAAAAACTGGGAAGTGGTGCTGTGGCTCAAGTGGTAGAGCACTAGCCTTGAGCTGAAAAGCTGAGGGACAGCACCCAAGCCCAGAGTTCAGGCCCCACAACCACCACCACCAAAATAATAATATTGACAAGGACCAAGAAGGACAAGGATAGGGAGACGACATTCACAGACAGGTGGAACTTTGCAGAAGAGGCTAGACCTGCAGACGGAAGGACCATGTGAGCCAAGGTTCAAAGGTGAGAGAACCCAAATGATTCCATCCTGGCTGGACAGGAGGGGGACGAGGCCAGTTCTCTCTGGGGCTAAGGAAGGAAATGTTCGTATCAGAGATAGATACAGCCTGGGTGGGGTATCCCCGAGGGACAATGGGAGGAAATTTTGCTTACATCTTCCCACCAACCTGGTCCTTATAAGCTGGCTGTCTTCCTCTGGTGGTCCCAGCAAGATGGACTTACAGTGGACCCCATTTTGCTTGCTGCTCCTCTTAGTTATGGGGCCTGCCTATCTGAAGACTCAGGACCACCTCAGCTGTCCAGGTAGGGGCCTAAGGAATTCTCCTCCCCACCCCCCACTCATCCCCCCCCCCCACTCCAAGGAGCCAGACGAATTTGAGAATGCAAATACATGCAAATTGGATGGAAACAATGCAAAACCTTGTCAACTCAGGAGAGAGCATTCTGACAGCTGGAATCTGGGAGCTAGAAAGAGAACTGCAGAGGGGTCTGGGAGAGACACACATCCATGGTGCCCACCAGCCCTGTGCCTCCCTGCAGAACCCAAGGAGCTGGAAGCCAGCAAAGTTGTGGTCCTGTCCAGCTGTCCGGGAGCCCCAGGAAGCCCGGGGGAGAAGGGAGTTCCAGGTCCTCAAGGTGAGAGATGCCCTTAGGGTAACGAGGAAGGCTGGGTGTCACAAAGAAAGGGCAGGACTGACAGGTACAGGGAGCAGAAATGGTTTGCCCTCAATCACAGAACCAGAACAGGGTGAAGATGGGGTTGGGGGATCTTAGGGCTTCAACCTCCATTGTACTTTGCTCCTGAGCCTGTCTGCCTCTGGGATTTCAGGGCCACCTGGACCACCAGGCGAGATGGGGCCCCAGGGTGAGCCTGGTGAGTATGTGGACTGCCACCTCCACTGCCTCCTGCACTCTATCCCAGATGGGGCGGGGGGGAGGTCTGAATGGCTGCCATCAGCAATCAGCTGTGTCCACCTGCCCCTGGGTGTGGAAGGCTGGGCTATGTGGGGAGGGCGAGGAAAAGGGCCTGCGCTCCACCTCACTGGCAGTTTCTGGGCATTCTTTTAGGGGTGCTCAGACCTCAGAGCTGTCATCTTCCTCTTCCTCCCTTCAGGAGATCCTTCGAGCCTGCTCCAGTGTCAAGAAGGTACGGTTCCTTCTTCAGAGCCAGCAACTTGGAATCGGGCTGAGCTGGGGTGTTGGTGGCTCTTCCTGTCAGCCCTCCCTAGAGCTCCCCTCAGGGAGCTCAAAGGGGCTAAGAGGGTGCCTGGCTCCTACATTTGTTCCAGAGCCTGGGTGGAAAGGTTTGGGTAGTAACTTTTTTTTTTCTTTTGTCGATCGTGGGGCTTGAACTCAGGGCCTAGGCGCTGTCCTTCAGCTCTTCAGCTCAAGGCTAGCACGCTACCACTTGAGCCATAGCACCACTTCTGGCTTTTTCTGCTTATGTGGTGCTGAGGAATCAAACCCAGGGCCTCATGCATGTGGGGCAAGCACTCTACCACTGAGCCACATTCCCAGCCCCGCGTAATAACTTAGTAGTTCCCCTCAATCTATCTCCTCTTTCCCAGGCCCTAGAAGCTGTCAGGAGCTGCTGAGCCACGGTGCCACCCTGAGTGGCTGGTACCAAGTGTGCCTACCAGAGGGCAGGGCCCTCTCGGTCTACTGCGACATGGACACCACAGGAGGTGGCTGGTTGGTGAGTGAAAAGGCCAGGTTCAGTGGTCACTTCTCCCCCTGACCCCTAGGGGGAGCCAGTGTCCGCTGGCGCAAGACACTCCTCAGAGGAATTCTCTGACAAAAGTTTGTTGAGCTCCTGCACTGAAGAAGTTTAAGAAGGCTTCCCAGAGGAGAGGCCATTTGAAAGGAGCTTGAAGGCTGTGTAGAAGTATTTTCCAGGTAGAAGAAAAGATCAACTCAGCTGAGCGTCAGGGGCTCATGCCTGTAAGGCTAGCTACTCAGGAGGCTGAGATCTGCAGATCACAGTTTAAAGCCAGCCCGGACAGAAAAGTCCATGAGACTCTTATTGCCAGTTAGCTAACAGAAAACTCAAAGTGGCAATATGCTCAAAGTGGTAGAACACTAGCCTTGAGCAAAAAAGCTGAGAGACAGTGCCCAGACCCTGCAAGCCCCATGACTGACAAAAAAGAAAAAAAGAAAGAAAAGAAAAAAAGAGATGATTCAAGATACACCATGCAGGCGCATTGCACCAGCTTTTTTTTTTTTTTTCCTGTCAGTCATGGGGCTTGAACTCTGGGCCTGGGCGCTGTCCCTCACCTCTTCAGCTTAAGGCTAGCGCTCTATCACTTGAGCTACAGTGTCGTCACTTCTGGTTTTCTGGTGGTTGATTGGAGATAAGAGTCTCATGAACTTTCCTGTCTGGCCTGGCTTTGAACTATGATCTTTGGATCTCAGCCTCCTGAGTAGCTAAGATCCCAGCCCTGAGCCATCAGCACCTGGCCTGGCTTGTTTTTATCATAGTGAATTAAAGTAGATTATTATTATTATTATTATTACTGTCGGTGGTAGGGCTTGAACTCTGGGCCTGGGCGCTGTCCTTCAGCTCTTCAGCTCAAGGCGAGCGCTCTACCACTTGAGCCACAGCGCCACTTCTGGTTTTCTGAGCGGTTTATTGCAGGTAAGAGTCTCAGGGGCTTTCATGGCTGAGCTAGCTTTGAACTGCGATCCTCAGATCTCAGGCTCCTGAGTAGCTAGAATTACAGGCGTGAGCCACTGGCACCCAGCTAAGCAGATTATTTTGAGTTTGACTTTCAGCAGGACTGACCACTTTCCTAAAACAGGGATGATGTTTCTATCATTTTAGATTCCTCAGAGGCCTGCAAATTTTAGCTGTGAGGTTGATTAGCAGTGAAAGTTAATAAGAGGCTGCAAGTGGGTAGCTCAGGCCAGTAATCCTGGCTACTCTGGAGGATGAGATCTGAGGATCATGTTTCAAAGTCAGCCCAGACAGGGAAGTCTGTGAGATTTTTATCTCCAATGAACCCTCACAATCTGTCTCCCCTAGAAGCTGCCGGGAGCTGCTGAGCCAGGGTAAAACAGATTGAGCGGTGGCTCAGGTGGTAGAACACTAGTCTTGGAACAAAACAAAGTAAAAGAACAGCACTCAGACTGTGAGTTCAAGCCCAGTACCAGAACAACAACAAAAGGGAATTGAGGGGCTGGGAAGGTGGCTCAGTGGTAGAGCGCTTGCCTTGCATGCCTGAGGCCCTGGGTTCCATTCCTCAGCACCACATAAACAAAAAGAAAAAAGCGGGAAGTGGTGCTGTGGCTCAAGCGGTAGAACGCTAGCCTTGAGCTGAAGAGCTGAGGGACAGCGCCCAGGCCCAGAGTTCAGGCCCCACAACTGGACCCCCCCCCAAAAAAAAGGGAATTGAGTTCATAATCGTATTCGCAAGCCAACCTTGCTGGGAGGAATCACAGCCCCTCCCTATCCACAGAGAAGGGGAATGTCTTCCCTCTTCTCTTCCCCCCAGCCTCAGCCACCACTCCCCGCTGCTCCATACCCCATGCCCTGCCTTCTGCGTCTCCCCAGGTTTTCCAGCGACGACAGGATGGTTCTGTGGATTTCTTCCGATCTTGGTCCTCCTACAAAGCCGGTTTTGGGAACCAGGCATCTGAGTTCTGGCTGGGGAATGAGAATTTGCACCAACTCACTCTGCAGGGTGAGTTCCTGACAAAGAGGTTGGGTATGAAGCATGGGGTCCACCTCCTTGAATTCCCGCCTTGGGGTCTGAGGAGTCCTCCATCCCAGCCTCTCCACCCCCTTTCCAGGTACCTGGCAGCTCCGGGTGGAGCTGGAAGACTACCATGGCAACCGCACCTTCGCCCACTATGCAGCCTTCCACCTCCTTGGAGAGGTGGATCACTACCAGCTGGTGCTAGGCAAGTTCTTAGAAGGCACGGCAGGTAAGTGGGGCTCAATGTGGGGCCCCAGAGGAAGGAAACAGGGGACAGAGGTCGACTCCTACCCCCCTCCCCTGCCAGTACTTCACTACCTCCACAAATGAGCCTACATAACTTCTTCCCTTCTATGGGACTCGGTTTTGTCATCTGAGAAATGGCAGGCCAGAGACAGGATGGCACAGTCAGGAAAGATGAGGGCCCTGGCTGTACACTGGTCTCTGTCAGTCACACGCTATGTGATCTTGGTAAATGTCTTCCCTGGCACAGCTTCAGTTTCTTTCTTTTTCTTTTTTTTTTTTTGCGGGGGGTCAGTTGTGGGGCCTGAACTCTGGGCCTGGGCGCTGTCCCTCGGCTCTTCAGCTCAAGGCTAGGGCTCTACCACTTGAGCCACAGCGCCACTCCTGGGTTTCTGATGGTTAATTGGAGATAAGAGTCTCATGGAATTCCCTGCCTGGGCTGGCTTTGAACTGCAATCCTCAGAACTCAGCCTCCTGAGTAGCTAGGATTACAGGCGTGAGCCACCAGTGCCCGGCTTCTCAGTTTCTTCTCTTAAAAAAAAAATGTGGGCAGGTGCTGGTCCACAAGTCTCTTATCTCCAATGAACCACCAGAAAACCGGAAGTGGCACTGTGGCGCAAGTGGTAGAGCCCTAGCCTTGAGCTGAAGAACTCAGGGACAGAGCCCAGAGTTCAAGACCCATGACCAACAACAACAACAAAAAAAAATTGCAGGGATGCAGACAGAGACAGAGACAGAGACAGACAGAGACACACAGAGACAGAGGCTCTGTTGCTTGTCTATGTTTCCTGCTTTGGGAGGAGAAATAGAGAAATCTTTCAGAGAAACAAACAGTGGTGTTGGGAGAGATGTAAAAGGGGGAGCTGTTACGGGGGGACACACTGGGGACACTCCTTTTCCTCCCAGGCACTAAGAGGTTCCTCCAGCTCTCCCTGGTAGAGTTGCTCAGGCTGCTGACTAGCGCTGAGGAGAGATAGAGGTGGGAGGGGAAGATGGGGACTCTGAAGGGGAAAGAACCGGCACCCTGGAGCAAGATGGTCCTGAGTTCAAGTCCTACCACCCCTGGGATTCGCTGAAAGTATTGTCTAATGTCCACCTCAGAGTTGATAGGAGGTGGTCTTGGAGCAGTATCTCCAAGGATCCAGGCATTGTGTGGAATGCCCAGATGCCTTCTGTTTTCTCTGTGCAGGGGACTCTCTGAGCTTCCACAGCGGGAAGCCCTTTACCACCTATGATGCTGACCATGACCTAAGCAAGGCCAACTGTGCAGTGACAGTCCATGGTGCCTGGTGGTACACTTCCTGCTACCGGTCCAACCTCAATGGGCGCTATGCCATGTCTGAAGCCACTGCCCACAAGTATGGCATTGACTGGGCCTCAGGCCAAGGTGTGGGCCACCCCTACCGTAGAGTTCAGATGATGCTTCGTTAGGTCAACCTAGAAAACAGTACCCTTTGCTAGGTCAACCTAGAAAACAGTACCCTTCGCTAGGTCAACCTAGAAAACAGTGCCCTTCACTTTGTCGTACAGCTTCGGGAACCACAGCCACTTCCCCATTCCACCCACCTCTGCTTCCCTGTCCACATTTAAAATAAAGAATTTTAACCCTTTGTCTGGTTTTCAGTATTCTTCTAGTTACTGGGGAAAGCCCTATGGGCAGAGGCATGTAAGTTTAAGTTCCATTTTACAAAGAATTATTTTTTTTTTTTATTATTTAGATACTCATTTTAAAAGAGACTACTTATTTTGTGCCTAGACTGGGGCTTGAACTCAGGGCCTGGGTGCTGTCCCTGGCTTTTTTTTTTTTTTCAAGGCTAGCACTCTGCCACATGAGACACAGCTTCACTTCCGGCTCTTTTGGGAGGTAAGTGAAGATGATGAGTCTCTTGGATTCATCTGGCTTTGAACCAGGATACTGAGATCTCAGTCTTCTGAATAGCTACGATTACAGGTGGAGCCCAGCGATGATTGACCAGTGCTACAAATCATTGAGTCTGTCTGTCTTTCTTTCTTTCTTTCTTTCTTTCTTTCTTTCTTTCTTTCTTTCTTTCTTTCTTTCTTTCTTTCTTTCTTTCTTTCTTTCTTTCTTTCTTTCTTTCTTTCTTTCTTTCTTTCTTTCTTTCTTTCTTTCTTTCTTTCTTTCTTTTCTTTCTTTCTTTCTTTCTTCTTTTTTGTCTTTTGTCAGTCATGGGGCTTGAACTCTGGGCCTGGGTGCTGTCCCTTGGATCTTCAGCTCAAGATGAGTGATCTACCAATTGAGTCAGTGCCACTTCCGGTTTTCTGGTGGTTCACTGCAGATAAGAGACTCACAGAATTTCCTGCCCAGGCTGGCTTTGAACCATGATCCTCACATCTCAGCCTCCTGAATAGCTAGACTTGAGCCACTAGCACCTGGCTTAGCAAATCATTTTGTAGTGGGAATTGCACAGCTTTCTTACCTCCTCTGTTCCTTTGCAGTTTCTGGTGAGCTGTTTTCTACCCTAGCCTTGGTTACATCCAAGTTCTCATCCCTTACAGCTTCTTTTCTGTCCCGTGAAAAGCTGGCTTGAGCCAGGTCCTGGTGGCTCATGCCTGTGATCCTAGCTCCACTGGAGGCTGAGATATGAGGATTGCAGTTTAAGGCCATCCCTCTACCCTGGAAAGTTGGTGAGACTCTAATCTCCAACTAACCACCAGAAAACCAGAAGTGGTGCTGTGGATCAAAGTGGTAGAGTGCTAGCCTGGAGCAAAAGAGCTCAGAGACAGTGCCCAGGCCCTGAGTTCAAACCCCACAACTGACAACAAAAAATGCTGTCTTGAACCAGAGATCAAATAAAAAATGGGCACTTTTCACCCCCATGAGGTAAAAGTGTTGGGAAAATGGGAGAGAATGGAAAAGGCATAGCCCGGAATTGACTGTCAACAGTAAGGACTGTTTATTGAGGGATAGCAAGGGCACAGACCTTCCATTTTCCCAACAAAAAAAGACACTGGCTAGCATTTATGAGGCATATTATATCTCCAAAGCCTCGTCATATTTTTCAAGTGATTACATAAATTGTGGGATTACGTATTGTGGGATGGTGATACTTAGCTAACGTCACAAACACATTTTAACTTTCACAAGGCTAATTGTCAATATCATGGCCTATAAAGCTTGTGAACTCTACAGGCTTTGACAATACAACTCTTTCTTCCAAATCGGGTGATATGCACATTTCTTTCCTTTTGCTTAGTGTAAGCTGTTCCCTCTTTCTCTCTCAGTCCCTCCCTCCCATCACTGCCTTTGAGTTGCTCAGTTCACTTTCATCAGAGTCTAGTGCAGCTCTTGGACACTTTTGCTGTATTTTTCACCTGTTTCCGTCTGACTTTGTGCCCTCCTAGCTTTCCTCAGATGTGCACATGTATGTGCACATGTATGTGCCTTATGTGGAGTCAAGAACATAGAGTCATCCAAAAAAATACAAAAAAATAAGAAGAGGTCCTTTGTTTCTTGAGTCCTATTTACTTTGTCATATCGTTGCATTTTGAATTTAACATGTGCCATTTGTCTCTCTGATCTTGGCTTATTTTGCTCAACATGATTTGTTCTAGTTCCATCCATTTTCCCTGCAAATGCCATTGTTTTGTTCTTTCTAATGGTTGCATAATATCCCATTGTGTATGTTAGAAGAATGGAAAAGGAATAGGCTGGACTCGATCATCAACAGGCGAGGACTATTTATTGCAGAACAGCGAGGGCACAGACCTTCCTCCAGTTTGGAGGTTGTGCCCCCGAGTTGGAATAAGATCTGGGGTTTTATAGGAGGTCCAAGCAAGGAGGCAGAGGTTAATGAGAAGCCCCTGGGTCAAGGAAGGTGTGGCCTTTCAGTTGGGCCCACAATGGGATGTTTACAGCTGGGCTTAGGTAGATTGCGCTGCCTGCACTTCACATAAGTTCACACACACCTGGGATTCTGCCTGGTGTCTGTATGGGCCTGGGACAATGGGGGGAGGGGGCATCGTCAATCCTTCTGTGTATAGCTACCACAATTTATGGACCCATTCATCTGGAGTCGGGCATCTGGGTTGTTTCCATATCTTGGCTATTGTGAACAGTGCAGCAATGAACATGGAGGTAAAGCTACATCATATTAAGCGACAGCAGAAGTAAGCAGATAAAGAGTCCTCGTGGGGATCCTATTCTGAAACGACTGGCCATGGACAAATGACCTAACCTCTGTAAGTCCTCAGTTCCTGATTTTGGGGTCTGCTGAGGTTTGCACAAGAATTCATAGTAGAAAGTTAGAGATTCTTGAGCTGGGTGCTGATGGCTCATGCCTGTAATCCTAGAGACTCAGGAGACTGAGATCTGAGGATCATGGTTCAAAGCCAGCCTGGGCAGGAAATTCCATGAAACTCTTTTTTTTTTTTTTGTCGGTCGTGGGGCTTGAACTCTGGGCCTGGGCATTGTCCCTCAGCTCTTCAACTCAAGGCAAGCGCTCTACCACTTGAGCTACAGTGCCACTTCCTCCATGAAACTCTTATCTCCAATTAACCACCAGAAAACCGGAAGTGGCACTGTGGCTCAAGGGGTAGAGTGCTGGCCTTGAGCTGAAGAGCTGAGGGACAGTGCCCAGGCCCAGAGTTCAAGGCCCACGACTGATAAACAAAAACAGAAAGAAAGAAAGAAAGAAAGAAAGAAAGAAAGAAAGAAAGAAAGAAAGAAAGAAAGAAAGAAAGAAAGAAAGAAAGAGAAAGAGAGAAAGAAAGAGAGAAAGAGAGAAAGAGAGAGAGAGAAAGATTCTTGGGGAGCTGAGGCTGGGACACTCGACCTAGAGGGCTGGAGTGAAGAATTGACCCCCACCTTATTGTCCCAGGTGCTACAGACACCAGGCAAAACCGCAGGTGTGTGCAGATGTGCTTGATGTGCAAGCAGGGCAATCCACCTAAGTCCAGCTGTAAACATTCCATCGTGGGCCCAACCGAAATGCCTGCCACCTCCTCAAACCTCCTTAAACTAATGGCTTTGCATTAACCTCTGCCTCCTTGCTCCGATCTCACAAAACCCAGCTCCTGTCCCAGCTCTGACACACAGTCTCCAGGCCCCGGGAAGGCTGTGACCCTCGCTGTCTGTTTCCTTCCTTTCTCCTCCATTTTCCTCACATGCAGTTTCTGGGAAAGGGTAGGTAGTCTTTGCAGTGTTTCTCAGAGCTCATGGTTAGGTTCTGGGTAGAGGTCATGGGTCAGCAGGGACCTGTAGCAGGTGGGATTCTGGCAGGCCCCACTCCGGGGCCGAGGGCTGCTGCTCGTGGGGCTGTGAGGTCCAGTTCATTCAGTGGACCCCGGCTTGTTCCCAGCCGCGGCCCGGGCACACGTGGGACGAGCATCTGCAGCGAGCAGTCCCCAGCGGCGTGCACGGACGGACGGGCACAGGCTGTTCCGGAAGAGGCCATTGTCGGAGGCTCCGGCGGGAGAGGAGCGAGGGAGAGGCTAGTCCCCAGCCGCCGGGGAGCGGCACTGCCCCAGGGTCGAGGGTGGAGCTTTCCCACTTCGGGAAAGGGCTGGGCCGGGCCTGCCCGGGAGGGGAGGACCGAGTGCCGGCGCTCCCCACAGAAGTCGGGGTGGCAGGCGCTGCCGGCCGGACCCCAGGGCTCCCCCGTGACCCCGGGCCTCAGATCACCGGTACCCCAGACTCTTGGAGCCCAGTTCCGGATTCCCCACCGTCAGGACCTTGCACATCTGCGCTCAGGTTTTTTCTTCGTCTCTCTACTCTGGATTTCTGGAACGGGACGTCCGGTCGGCGTCTGGATCCCCCGATCTCCTAAGGGATTCTCAGCTCTTCACTTGACCCCCGGATCCGCCACCGTCCCCGTTCCTCGCGCCGAAGCGTCCCCGCATGGAGGGGCCGTGTCCCCGGGCTGGGACCTTGGAGCGCGCGGGCAGTTGCTGGCAGGACCCGCTGGCCGAGGCGCTGAGCCGGGGCCGGCCGCTGGCTGCGTCCCCGGGCCGGGGCTGCGCGCGGAGCCGGCCGCTCAGCGTGGTCTATGTGCTGACCCGAGAGCCGCAGCCCGGGGTGGAGCCTGGGGCGGGAACCGAGGTGGAGCCGCTGCCCCTGCGCTGCCTGCGCGAGGCCTGCGCGCAGCTGCAGGGGCCCCGGCCGGCGCCCCGGCTGCACAGCCTGCCTTTCGGAACCCTGGCGCTGGGCGACACCGCGGCGCTGGACTCCTTCTACAACGCGGGTAGGCGCCCGGGGCGGGGCGCGGGCGATGGGCGGGGCGGTGGGCGGGGCGGTGGGCGGGGCCAGGACTGGGTGGAGGTGGATACCAGGCCTAGGGGCTCGGGCTTAGTTAAAGTTAAAAGACCGGAGACGGGGCTGTGATGACTGTGCGACTGAGGGGCCTCTGGAGTGCGCTCAGGCCCAAAATTAGATTGAGGGGACTAGGCTTGGCTCTGGGGTACGGAGTGGAATTTAAACACTCTTCCTAAGGGGCGGTGCCAAAGATGGGGCGGGGCTTAGACGTTGGGGCGTGGTCAAGAAAGGAAGGCGTGTGGCCCTGCGTTGGGACTGGGGCGCAGCATGGGTGATCTTACCTAGGGCTACGCGAGGGAGGCCCGCGAGCGGGGTGGGGGCCCATTCCTGTAGAGCTG